GCCTTCCACAATGGTTGAACTAATTTACACTCCCACCACCTGTGTAAGAGTGTTCCTATTTCTCCACATCCTCTCCAGCATCTGTTGTCTCCAGATTTTTTAATGATCACTATTCTAACTGGTGTGAGATGATATCTCAGTGTGGTTTTGATTTGCATTTCTCTAATGACCAGTGATGATGAGCATTTTTTCATATGTTTGTTGTCCTCATAGATGTCTTCTTTTGAAAAGTGTCTGTTCATCTCCTTTGCCCACTTTTGAATGGGGATGTTTGTTTTTTTCTTGTAAATCTGTTTTAGTCCTTTGTAGATTCTGGATATTAGCCCTTTGTCAGATGGGTAGATTGCAAAAATTTTTTCCCATTCTGATAACATGGGGAGAAATGCCATAAAATAAATATATTAAAAAACAAAGAAACCCACTTCTTTGTTGTCTGCCTTCCAGGGAGACTCATGGAGGCAGAGCCCCATCAACAGAATAAGGTGACTTCTGAACTGGCTCTTGGATGGGAACTATTACAGTTGAGGTGCCCGATGCCTGCAAAAACTCTTTCCAAGAAGAACCTGCAATTCTGCTTTTATCTGTGTAGGAAGCTGGTGGAGAGAAGCCACCAAATGAACGTGCTCACATACTATCCATTCTGGCTCCTGGAGCTCACTGTCTACCTGCCTTATCTGTTCCAGTTCCAGAGGCAAGTTCATTAGAAGCTTAGCCCTCACGCAGCAGCTGGGAAAGTAGGCAGACAAATCCACTCTAGGGGACACTGGAAGCTGGGTATTCTATCACATTCTCTCTGCACTGATTCTGGGGTAGAGCTGCTGGAAGTGCACATTCACCCACTTAAAACCACCTCTTGTCTTTTCCACTCCCAGAGTTAGGTGATTCAGAGACATACCCTCCGTGGAGAAGAACAGCAAAACTTGGGATGCGCTATCTGTGGTGCAATCCCTTCACTTGTTAGGGAGAAGCTAAGCCTTTGAGAATTCCTTCCCATTGCAATGTACTGTGGTTGAGGTGGGGGTGGTGCCTCAACTTTTCAACACTTTTCCAGTGTATATAGTTTCTCAGTTGCCCAATGTGTGGAAATCTCTCAACTAACTTCTGGCTTTCTCTCCGAGGAAACTGATGTATGTGTAGATGTTTATTTTGTGTGTTTCTGGGAGGAAAGGTTGGGAGCCTCCTGTTCTGTCATCTTGCTGATGTCACTATCCGTTGGTGTTTCTGAACAAGAGATTTAAACAAATGAAACAGTAGGCAAATAAGCTATGCTAAGATAAATGCAGACATTTTCCTGAAATAAAGAACAAATGTAAACCTGTAAATTAACACCGTGTAGTGGTAGGAAAAAAATTGATTTAAAAAATAACACCAAAGTGTATCCTCATGACATTACTACACTTTTTGGCTAAAGAATGTACTTAGAACAGTCAAATATGAAAAGCAAATAATCTGTGAAGGTTGGATACAAACTTTTCTTTAGAGCAGACTTTGATAACAAGCTGTGTGGAGCAATGCCTATGGAGGTACATAGAACATAAAATATGGTGGTTGAAGATGTTATTCGGTGTGAAGGAATAGACACGTTTTCAAACATATGTGCCATATGTGCACTCAAGGAGTTTGGATCACATACAACTTTCCAGACCAAACTATTTAATAGTGAAAGTCAGAGAGAACTATGATTTGAATCAAGCTATAGTACCCCCAAATACAAAAGTTAAATGCTGAGCACTAGATTGACTTATGTATAAAACTAAGTCACACTGATGGGGGATTTATAATAGCATAAGAAAATATAACATTCACAAACTAGACATGGTAAAGTTTATAATCTAACTAACAAAACACAGGAGATATGGGGCAAATGAAGCGGCAGCATGTATAGTTGTGTTTCTGCTTATTGCTTTAAAAAATCAGAGGAGTCAGAACCTAAAACTGAAACATACACTTAACAAGAAACACAACCTACAACCACTTTTAATCCCCCACCATGTATATGTATGCTCATGTGCACCCCCACACACAAAAGCATATGCACACACATATATGCACACACAAGCCATTCTTGCAGGAGTGAGATAGTATCACATTGTGGTTTTAATTTGCATTTCCCTGATAATTAGTGATGTTGAGCATTTTTTCATATATTTGTCGGCCATTTGTATATCTTCTTTTAAGAATTGTCTGTTCAGGTTCTTAGCCCACTTTTTAATGGGACTGTTTGTTTTATTCTTGCTGATTTGTTTAAGTTTCTTGTAGATTTTGGATATTAGTCCTTTGTTGGATGTATAGATTGCTAAGATTTTTCTCCCACTATGTAGATTTTCTGTTTACTTTGTGATTATTTCTTTTGTTGTGTCAAAGGTTTTTAGTTTAATTAAGTCCTATCAATTTATCTCTGTTTTTGTTGTGTTTCTTTTTAGGATCTTGGTCATGAAGTCTTTGCCTAAGCCAATGTCTAGAAGGGTTTTTCAACAGTTATCTTCTAAAATTTTTATGGTTTCAGGTCTTATATTTAAGTCTTTGACACACATTGAGTTGATTTTTGTATCTGGTGAGAGATGAAGATTGAGTTTTATTCTTCTATATGTGGCTTGCCAATTATCCCAGGACAATTTGTTCAATAGAGTGTCCTTTCCCCACTTTATATTTTTGCTTGCTTTATGGAAGATCAGTTGACCGTAAGCACTTAGCTTTATTTCTGAGTTCTCTATTCCGTTCCATTGGTCTATATACCTATTTTTATGCCAATACAATGCTGTTCTGGTGACTATGCCCTTATAGTATAGTCGGAAGTTGGGTAATGTTCTCCTGCTAGATATGGTCTTTTTTGCTTTAAATTTTTTTTTTTTTTTATTTTTTTGAGACAGGGTTTTGCACTGTCACCCAAGCTGGAGTGCAATGGTGAGATCTTGGTTCACTACAACTTTCACCTCCTAGGTTCACATGATTCTCCCACCTCAGCCTCCCAAGAAGCTGGGATTAGAGGTGCACATCACCACACCCAGCTAATTTTTTAATATTTTTAGTAGAGGCAGGGTTTTGCTATGTTAGCCAGACTAGTCTCGAACTCTTGACTTCATGATCCACCCACCTCAGCCTCCCAAAGTGTTGCGATTACTGGTGTGAGCCACTGCACCTGTCTTGTTTTTGCTATACAAAAGATCATTCAAGACTACTATGAACATGCTTCCAAACACAAACTAGAAAACCTGGAGGAGATGGATAAATTACTGGAAATATATAACCCTCATAGATTAAGCTAGGAAGAAACAGAAACTCTGAACAGACCAATAATAAGCGGTGAGATTAAAATGGTAATTAAAAAGTTATCAAAAACAACAACAAAAACCCCTCAAGACCAGAAGGATTCACAGCTGAATCTTACCAGACTTTCAAAGTAGAATTTGTACAAATTCTATTGACAGTATTCGAAAAGATAGAAATGGAGGGAGTTCACCCTAAATCATTCTATGAAATATCACCCAAATACCAAAATCAGGAAAGGACATAACAAAAATATAAAACTACAGACTAATATCCGAGATAAACAAAGATGCAAAACTCCTCAGGAAAATAATAGTTAATACAACGCATTTCAAAAAGATAATCCACAATGATCAGTAGGTTTTATGTAAGGGAGGCAGGGTTGGTTTTACATTAAGAAGTCAATAAATGTGATACACCACATAAACAAATTAAAAACAAAAATCACATGATTATCTTGACAGATTCAGAAAAAGCATTTGACAAAATCCAGTATCCTTTTGTGATTAAAACCCTCAGCAAAATCAACGTAAATGGGACATACCTTAAGATAATAAAAGCTATCTATGACAAACCCACAGCCAGCATTATACTGAATGAAAAAAAGTTGAAAACAATCCCCCTGAGAACTGCAACAAGACAAGAATGTCCACTTTTGCCACTTCTATTCAACATAGTACTGGAAGTCTTAGCCAAAGCAATCAGATAAGAGGGCATCCAAATCAGTAATGAGGAAATCAAACTGTTGCTGTTTGCTGATGACATGATCATCCACCTAGAAAACCCCAAGGACTCATCCAAAAAGCTCCTAGAACTGGTAAATTAATTCAGCAAAGTTTCAGGATACAAAATTAGTGTACCCAAATCAGTAGTCCTATAAACCAACACTTCCAGTTGTTGGGTGGAATGTTCTGTAAATATCTGTTAAGTTCACTTGTTCTAGGGTATAGTTTAAGTCCATTGTTTCTTTGCTGCCTTTCTGTCTTGATGACCTGTCTAGTGCTATCAATGGAGTATTGAAGTCCTCCACTCTTAATGTGTTGCTATGTCATTTCTTAGGTCTTGTAGCAAATGTTTTATAAATTTGGGATCTCTGGTGTTAGGTGCATATATATTTAGAGTTCTGATAGTTTCCTGTTTGACTAGATCTTTTACTACTTATTTATCCTATTATTTATTATTACTTTTTTTGAGACAAGAGTCTCACTCTTGTGCAGGCTGGAGTGCAATGGTGCGATCTTTCATCACTGCAACATCTGCCTCCTGGATTCAAGTGATTCTCCTGCTTCAGCCTTCCTAGTAGCTGCGATTACAGGTGCCTGCATCCATACCCAGCTAATTTTTGTATTTTTAGTAGATACAGGGTTTGACTATGTTGGAAAGCTGGTCTTGAACTTGTGAACTCAGGTGATCCAACCACCTCTGCCTCCCAAAGTGCTGGGATTGTAGGCATTAGCCACCACTCCCGGTCTAGACCTTTCATTATTAAACAGTGTCCCTCTTTGCTTTTTTTTAAATGGCTGTTGCTGCTAAGTTTGTTTTGTTTGATGTAGTAATAGGACTCCTATTCAGTTTTGGTGTCCATTTGCACAAAACATTTTTTTCCACCCTTTTACCTTAAGTTTATGTGAGATTTTATTTTTCAGGTGAGTCTCTTGAAGATAGCAGATACTTGGTTGGTGAATTTTCCTCCATTCTGCCATTATGCATTTTCTTTTTCTTTTTTTAAATTATACTTTAAGTTCTGGGGTATATGTGTAGATAGTGCAGGATTGTTACATAGGTATACACATGGCATGGTGGTGTACTGCATCCATACCCCTGTCGCCACATTAGATATTCCTCTTAATGTTATCCTTCCCTAATCCTCCTACCCCCTGCTATCCCTTCCTTAGCCTCCCCACCCCTCAACAGCACCAGTGTGTGATGTTCCTATTCCTGTGTCCACGTGTTCTCATTGTTCAACACCTGCTGAATAATTTTTATTTTTTTTCATTGTGTTGTTGGTTTATAGGCCCTGTGAGATTTATGCTTTAAGGAGATTCTATTTTGGCATATTTTGAGAATTTGTTTCAAGATTTAGTGCTCCTTTCAGCAGTTATTGTAGTGCTGACTGGTAGTGGTGAATTCTCTCAGCATTTATTTGTCTGAAAAAGACTGTCTTCCCTTCATTTATGAAGGCTAGCCTTGCTAGATATATAATTCTTGATTGATAAATGTTTTGTTTAAGGAGCTTAAAGATAGGGCCCCCATTCCTTCTAGCTTGTAGGGTTTCTGCTGAGAAATCTACTGTTAACCTGATAGGTTTTCCTTCAGTAGTTACCTCATGCTTTTGCTTCACAACTCTTAAGATTTTTTCGTTCGTCTTGACTTCAGATAACCTGATGACTATGTGCTTAGGTGATGGTCTTTTTGTGATAAATTTCCCAGGTGCTCTTCGAGCTTCTTGTATTTGGATGTCTAGATCTCTAAGAAGGCTGAGAAAGTGTTCCTCAGATATTCCCTCAAATATGTTTTTCAAACTTTAAGATTTCTCTTCTTCCTCAGGAACACCAATAATTTTTAGGTTTTGTCATTTAACATAATCCCAAACTACTTGGAGGCTTTGTTCATTTTTTAAATTTATATATATATTTTTAACTTTGTGGGGTTGGGTTAATTCAAAAACTTGCTTTCAAGCTCTGAAGTTCTTTCTTCTACTTGTTCAATTCTATTGCTAAGACTTCCAGTGCGTTTTGCAATTCTCTAAGTGTGTTCTTTATTCCTAGAAGTTGTGATTGTTTTTTATTTATACTATTGATTTCACTAGAGATTTGTCCAGTCATACCTTGTATAATTGTTTTAATTTATATAAGTTGGACTCATTTTTCTCTAGTGCCTCCTTGATTGGCTTAATAGTTGCCCTTCTAAATTCTTTTTCTGGCAATTTAGAGATTTCGTCTTGGTTTGGATCCATCGCTGGTAAGCTAGTGTGATATTTTTGGGTTGTTACAGAACCTTGTTTGTCATATTACCAGAATTGTTTTTCTTGTTCCTTTCTATTTGGGTAGACTGTGCCAGAAAGAAGATCTGGGACTCAAGGACTGCTCTTCAGATTTTTTTGTTCCATGGGGTACTAACTTGATGTGGGGCTCTATGCTTTCCCCTAGTGGTGGGACTTTCTGAGATCTGAACTGCAGTGATTGTTATTTCTCTTCTGAATCTAGCCACCCAGCAGAGCTACTGGGCTTCAGACTGTTATCTGGGTAGTGTCTACAAAGAGACCTGCGATGCGATCTGTCTTCAGGTCTCTCAGCACTTGCTCCCGTGGAGGTAACAGAGGAGTTAAGTGGACTTTGTGAGGATCCTTGGTTGTATTTTTGTTAAGCATACTTGGTTTTGTGTTGGTTAGCCTCCAGCCAGGAGGTGGCGTTTTCAAGAATGCATCAGCTGCTGTTGTATAGGGAGAATACAAGCTTACCCTAGGGTCAGATGGGGCCATAGAGCTCCCAAGGCATTATGCCTTTTTTCTTTTGCTACCAGGTTGAGTAGAGAAAGACCATCAGGTGGTGGCAGGGTTAGGTGTATCTGAGCTCAGACTCTCGTTTGGTGGAGATTCAGGTGGCTTCTGTAGGGAATGGGGATGTAGTTGTCAGGCCAATGGAGTTATGTTTCTAGGGGCGTATGGCTGCCTCTGCTGTGTGACACGGGTTGCCAGGGAAGTGGAGGAAAGCCAGTGGTCACAGGCCTCCCTCAGCTCCCACAACACCTGTAGCCAAAAGGTTGCTCTCACTCCCACTGTGCCCTCACAACAGCACTGGGTTTATTTCCAGGCAGCTGGTGAGAAAGACTGAGAACTTGCCCCAGGCTATAAGCCTCCTAGCTGGAAAAGCAAGCTGATTTACAATCCCCTGGCTGTCCCACAGAGCCTGCAGTAGCAATCCACCTCCTTCAAAGAGTTGGTGGATTTTCTTGGCTTTCCCAGTATGTTCCTGCCATAGTTCTTGGAGCAAAAGTTCCCCGTGTGGTTCTCCAGAAGCTTCTCTGTTTATCTGAATGGCAGCTGAAAGTTAGTCCTGCCTTCCACATTTTCACATAATTTCTTGCTATAAAAATGCAACTATTTTCTGTATGTTGACTTTTTATCCTACAAGTTTACTGAATTAGTTCTAACAGGTTTTTTTTTTTTTTTTTTGATGAAGTCTTTTGAGGTTTCTATATATAAGACCATGTCATCTGCAAATATCAACAATTATTTTTTTTTCTGATTTGAATGTCTTTTTCTTCTCCATTGTATAATGTCTCTGTAAGGACTTCCAGTACTATGCTGAGTAAGAGCAGTTAAAGTGACCACCTTTGTCTTGTTTCTGATCTCAAAGAAAAACATTTCAGCTTTTAATTGTTGACACTGAACTTATGAACTTGACATGCATAACTTTTATTATGTTGAGGTGTTTCTTCTATTCCTAATTTGTTGAGTTTTACTCGTAAAAGGATGTTGAATTTTATCCAATACGTTTTCTGTGTCTATTGAGATGACCATATTTTTTATACTTCATGCTGTTCATGTGATATATCTTCTCTATTGATTGAACCATTCTAGCATCCTAAGGATAAATTTCATGTAATCATGGTGTATTATCCTACTATTGTGCTTTTAAATTTAGTTTGCTAGTATGTTGTTGGATTTTGCCTGTGTGTTTATCAGGGATTAGGGCCTATAATTTTTTTTCTGTAGTCTCCTTATTAGTCTTTAGCATAACAGTAATTGGCTTTATCAAATAAGTTTAAAAGTGTTCCCTCTTGGCTGGGCGCAGTGACTCATGCCTATAATCCCAGCACTTTGGGAGGCCGAGGAGGGTGGATGAGGTCAAGAGAACTAGACCATCCTGGTCAACATGGTGAAACCCCGTCTCCACTAAAAATACAAAAATTAGTTGGGCATTGTGGCACACACCTGTAGTCCCAGCTACTCGGGAGGCTGAGGCAGGAGAATTGCTTGAACCCAGGAGGTAGAGATTGCGGTGAGCCAAGATTGAGTCATTGCACTCCAGCCTGGGTAACAAGAATGAAACTCCGCCTCAAAAAAAAAAAAAAAAAAAAATAGTGTTCCCTCTTTGTCAATTTTTTTTGGAAGAGTTGGTGAAGAATCAGTTTTAAATAGGTTGATAGAATTAATTAGTAAAGCCATCTAGTCCTAAGCTTTTCTTCGTTGGAAAGGTTTTGATTACATATTTAATACCTTTGTACTTTATTGGTCTGTTCAGACTTTTGATTTCTTCATCATTCAGTCTTGAAAGGCTGTATGTTGATAGAAATTTATCCATTTCTTCAAGGCTGTCTAATGTGTTGGAGTAAAATTGTTCATAATAGTCTCTTATAATCCTTTGTATTTCTGTGGTATCAGTCTTAATGTGCCCTTTCTTACAGTTTTATTGATTTAAGTTGTTTCTCATTTTTCCTTAGTCTAGCTAAAAATTTGTCATTTTCTTAATCTTTTCTCAAAATCAACTCTCAGTTTTTTTTTTTCTATTGTCTTTCCAGTCTCTATTTCATTTATTTCTTCTTCAGTTTTCTATTTTCTTCCTCCTTTGTTCTTCTTTTTTTAGTTCCTTGAGGTGTATCATTAGGGTTTTTATTTTACTTTTTTTTTCATGCAGGTTTTATTGCTGCAGACGCCCCTTTTAGTACTGCTTTTGCTGTATTCAATAAGTTTTTACATTTTTAAAAATTTTCATTTGCTTCAAGATACTTTTTTCTTCGCTTTTTATTTCGTCCTTGACCTATTGGTTACTCAGAAATATGTTGTTTAATTTGCACATATTTGAAAATTTTCCTCTGTGAGTTTTATTCTTTATTTCATACCATTGTGGCTGGAAAAGATATGATGATTTCAATGTTCTAAAATATTGTTAAATCTTGTTTTTAGGCCCAATGTATGATTTATCCTGAACTAGTTATATTTTATTGTAGAGAAATGTTTGTATAAAAATTAGGAATCCCTTCATCCTAAATTATTTTTAAATTTATTTATTTTGATTTAGGTGCATACTATATCTGGCATTTCTCCACATGTTATCCCTCCCTACCCCCCCATTCCCACCCTCTACTGTCTCTCCCCTATCCCCCCAGCTGTCCCCGGTGTGTGACACTCCTCTCCCTGAGTCCACGTGTTTTCATTGTTCAACACCCACCTATGAGTGAGAACATGCAGTGTTTGGCTTTCTATTCTTGTGTCAATTTGCTGAGAATGATGGTTTCCAGATTCATCCAAGTCCCTATAAAGGACACAAACTCATCATTTTTTTATGGATGTGCAGTATTCCAAGGTGTATATGTACCACATTTTCTTTGTTAACTTTTAAAATTATATTCAAAAGTCATGTTTGGAATAGTATCCACCAGATACTAGACATGATTATTATTGAGAGGGACAATATTTTTTGTCTTAAATATTTACTTTTTTGATTTTATCTTATATGAATTTTTAAAATATGAATTACTTTTACTGTTAGGATGAAACAATAAATAGTGTTTATTCCTTACAAATGTCTAGCTCAGTTGACTTTGCAAATGTAAACTACACTTCTTGGACTCAAGGATATACAGAGACAGTGCCAAATAATCAAATAATAAAAATTACACAGAAATATCTCTCATTATTCTCAAGCTAATAAAGTTATTTTTCAAGATTTTTATTATGGTAAAATAAAGAGGGCATCATATTTATCATTTTAATCATTTTTAAGTGTAAAGTTCAGTGGCATTAAGTAATATTCACATTGTTGCTCACCATTACTTTATGTCTAGAACTTTACCATCATCTTAAACACAAGCTTTGT